TAGAAAATGTCAGTCAGTATATACTTCGACTTCGATGAATGCAAGCAAAAAATGAAAAATAGATCAAGTCCATTGAGAAAATGATGTGTATCTCTAAACACAAGCCGCGAAGGTCTTTTGTTTAAAATTGCAAGAAACAACGATATTGAATTAAGTAAATTCCATCAAGAACATGAACAGAACCGGGAGACAGGAATAGCATCAAGAGTTACCTCTCTGGGAATTAGCTGCATCTCGCCAGCAAAGCTTGGAATCAATCAATCAATCAATGTCAATCAAGTGATTATTTAATCAAGCCCTGCCCCCTTGGCTTGCCGATTGTTCTCTCTACTTCTGTGTGCTCTAGAAGATCTTCACAGATTACTCTAGTTGCCGTCGCCGGCCGTCTAGCAACACGCACGCTATCCCTGTAGGTGAATTAGTTATAGAAAACGAACCAGCCACAGAGAGCAAGCTAGATATCAGCAATTGAGAAACCCTGCACTGGGTGGTGGGGTAGATAGCAGAATCACTGTATGTGTGTGGTGTGCTGATATCAGTTTACTATTGTAGTCATCAGTAGAAACGTGTCCCGAAATGCGAATGAAAAAGCAGGGCAGAAAGAAGCGGTAACTTAAGTTAACTATATAGTTAAACTCTCTTTGTCACTCTTGTCCTATAAGAGTAACTAACATAACCTTTTGACCCAATCACGCGCCCCGCACCGCGCACCCCCCACTCCATTCCAAGGTTCCCCATTGAGCCTTTTCATGTCTTTTTTCGTATCTTATCCAGAATGCCGAAATCTCGGCTCCACTTCCACAGAGCCGGGCCGAAGAAAAACGCAGAGTAACACAGACAACTTAACTACCTGCTCAACGCATTTTCATTACTTCATTAAATTTAAATTATTGGGGTAAAGCAATCTGATGTCATTGAGATTTTCAAACTTGTTCAATTATTTCTTTTTACTTCAGAGAGGGGATAATGGAATATCTATCTCTAACTATTAGTCGCCCTCCCACCTGCCAGCACTACTAAGAGATTACTGCATGTATTCATGTCTTGTCTTCAGGAGTGGCACTTTCTTCTCTCAATCTACATCAAGAGGTTGAGGTGGTGTTCTTGATTGCATAACTATTTTCGCTAACACTAGTTTTCCCGGATCAATCATTATTTGAAGATGATTCAGGCCTGCAGTCAATTGCGTGAGAAGAGCAGCATTGTCATACAAACTGAGATAGGAGTAGAGCTGCAATTACATATAACTAAATTCTTAGGAAAATGTGTTAAGAATTTCTGCATGAGTGGTAATATGTAAGTTAAACACAGCTGTAGTATGAGAGCCGCGCAGGTACCGGTGGCAGGCTACTTCAAGCATCCCAATGGTCAAGAGAAGTCAAACTAAAGGCAGTAAACCTCTCAGTCCAAAATGCCAGCGTCCGCTAAATCTAGTCATAACCTAGTTAACTCAGAGACAGATGTGGCTTCACCACCTGTCAACAGCACTAAACTCCTAACCCTGGCTCCTATGAATATCAATAATGAAAGGATGGTAATAAGTCTCCTCGTGAGTAGGTATTCAGGCTTGAAAGTAATTTCCTATCTTCGCCTTGGAAGGACATGACGTGGCAATCTGAAGAGACATTCTGTACTGTAGGTGGCGGAGTACCGTTACCCCCTACATTCTACATGTCAATCCCTCCCCCCCCGGGGCAGCTCATTATTCCACAATAATTCCCGACTTTGCTATGGACAATCCTTTAGATCGGATCAATCATCCATGGGAAAAATAGTCCTAACTCGGCAGTAAACAAGTAAACCAACCAAAACACCCTTATGCATATACCATGCGCCTTCTCCTGGCCTGTGGAAAGTGTATTGGATTCTCCCCACCCAAACGGCTGTGAAGAAGACATCCCTTCCATACCTCACGCCCGTTTAAACCCCCATGGGGGTAAACAATCTTAGCAAAAGCTGATTGCGAGATTATCCTAATTGTCGACCAGCTTGGGCGCCCACCGGATATCAGAGTAATTCGATACAGCCGTTGTTCTCCGTAGTGCTTGACCGCATCAATTCAGATGTAACCTCAGCCCAGCCTTCTTAGCAAATAAAATCCATCCATCACAAAATACACTGCTTAAGAGGGTATCTGGTTATTCAGCCACGGATCCTCAAGAAGCTCCTTGGCTGTCTTCCTATCCTCCGGCCGCCACTGAAGCATCCCCCTCATAAACGCCAGGAACATCTCCTTATTCCTTCCTTCGAGAAACTCCTCCGACGCTTCTAAGCTTGCGTGCTGCGGTATCGGTATCACTATACCGTCTTGCTTCCACTGTCCTGTAAGTAAAAGTTTCTTTTGTATTAGCACACTATTTTCATTTTTGCTAGAGGGTATTTTAGTTTAGGCTAGAAGGGAGGAAGAAAGAGAACATAGTACCATCCTCTGTAAAAAATTCGCTGCTCCTATTCCCTCGATTGAGCAGGTCTAAAGGAGGCGGGCCCAGGAGGCTAATTACCTCCGCGAGATGCGTACGTGTTGAATACGTGCCGTCAGAATCTTTACCACGGAAAACGTGCTTGCCCTCAAACAAATGCCAGGCCTATTTTTCCCCCCCATCACTAGTTAGTGATAAAAAAGCGTGAAGTAAGTGGAAGGAGAATCATTTGGGGGAAACCCCCTCTCCACTACTCAAAAAAAAAAAAAAAAAAAAAAAAAAAAAAAAAGCAAAATAGATAAATAAAACTAAAACAAAAAATAAAGAAAGAAAAACGAATTACCATGAGGCCAACATTCCAAATATCAATCGGGTAGCTCCAGTCAGCTTTCAACATCACTTCTGGCGATTTGAAAAAATTAGGCTGCGCATCATGATTTCTCCTCTCATCGCCTTGCACCGCAGAACCAAAGTCACTCAGAACTGCGCGACCAAATGTCTTTGGCAATTCCAAACGCCGAGAAGCATACACTGGTACACCTCTGACAAATTTCCGAGGCGAAGGGTTCTCCATTTCAGAGTTCATAAAGCTTTCAAGAATCGACTTGTCCTCGATTTCCTGAAGTATGTTATCGGCCTTGATGTCTAGGTAAATCAAAAAAGCTTTCACGATTAGGAACAATTCCTTTCTTTCTTTCCTTTTTTTGGTAAGGAAACTGGAAGAAGTTCTTCTAACCCGTATGAACAAGCTTGCATTCAGTATGCAGATAGTCAAGCGCAAGAAACACCTGTATTAGACCAAACCTGAGTAGATTTTCAGTAAATCGGTGGCTTGGGTGGCGATACAGGAGATCTCTAAAACTCTCCCACATCGGCTTCTGGACAAGACAATGATGGTCCCCTCCGGGACGAGGGATGGTGAAGATATCCAGAGCTGTCCTCACATGGGGATAGCCAGGATGTGATGGATTCCCTTGGCTTAGATACTTATAGACCTGAAACTCTTCCTGACTAGCTTCGTTGCGTGTATACACTTTCAGTGTCACATACTGGTGTCCTCTGCGTGAATCAGCCCGACGTCCAAGTCTTGAAATACCGATAAACCATGGCTGACTTACGCGAGATCACGAGCGAGCCATACTGTGGAAGTCATGCCAAATCCCAGCTTGCCAATGACCTGGTATTTCGAACTAAACACGTCACCAATATTGACAGGATAATACCGCCCTTTCTTGAAATCTTCAAATCTTTCCTCATCGAGTATTCTAGATGCATTGATAGTTTCAAACCCGGTGGCCGGAAAGCGTATATGGGGCGAGGGAGCTCTTCGAAAGGTACTTTTCGCCCATTCCAGGAGAGAAGCCATTTTGAGGGCACGGAGAAATACTGTGGCCAAGGAAGAATGAAGTGAGTGAAGGCGGTTGGTCACTGTTCGCAAGGTTGTAAGGGAGCGGATGGGTGGTCACTCTCCTTGTCTGGAACTTTAGCCGCCTAGCTCCCAGGCGAACCCTATTAAGCGCGCTACTCGCCACTCATCTTTCATAAGGGCGCGGACCCGCCAGCCGGTTGGTTTCAAGATAGAATCAGGCTTCGACATGTTTTATTGGAGGCCCCTTCGGGAGTGATGCCAAAAATGCCATGTATGGCCCACAATAGTGGGAAAGGCTAGGGCACTAAAACTTACAGGAACCGTGGTTTACCGATCTTTGCTGGCTCCTGAGTCCTGAGCGATGAAACGTCGGCACCCAGACATATCCAGACGATCTGCCATATTTTTATGAAGATGGGAGTGGCACCACGAAGAAGGATGATACAAAGTGTTGACTATTGTAAATTTCATTGATACTGGGGTGTTGCTGGTGATGTTGTTTTGTCTAGTTGAACTATTTGTTACATTATATTTTTGTTGCGCTTTCAAAAGAATTTTTAGAAAGAGCGTCAACACGGCGGTGATCCGCAGCTTCAACACCCCGTTCTAACCTGGAATCGCCTTGCGCCCTGGTGTCAAGCTGCGCCCCCTAGCCATTAACATCCATACCTCGTAGGCATCTGTCACTCCGCAAGACCAACTGTCAAGACTAGAACTATAAGACGATTCGGGCAATCAACCTTCCAAAGCACCTTTTGTCTTAAAGCTGGTTGGCTCACCCAAACTAAAACAAACCCCACCAGCAACGCCGACATACCCCACCCCCAGCAAGTCAGCTCAAAGTTGTATGTATACTGGTAGGTACACATACTCCGTGCAGCAAAATCAATAACCATCAACACCGATTACAGATGTAAATAAAAAGAGAGAAAAAAGAACATAAGAAGAAAACGACATCTCAATTTCAAAAACTCACATCAAAAAAACTCACAATAACGAAATTTCCTACACTACATAAAAGTGACAAGCAAAGAAACAATAAAACATAAGACAAATGAAACAAAGGGAACAAAAAGAAGAACAAACACCCACAACTATGAACATCACAACAATTTGAAAACAAAACAAAACAAAACTCGAAAAATAGTAAGCCCGCGACAGCCCGATCAGCCAACCAAACCAAAATCAACCTAATTCATTCATTCAATCAATCAATCCCCCGCCTCACTCTTGCGCTTCTTCTTCCCCCCCTTCCCCTTCGGCGTCTCAGTCGCTGCGGCCGCCACAGCACCACGCTTCAGTTTCCCACTTCCAGTAAGCGCAGCAGCAGCCTCCTCCCTCTCCTTCTCCCTCTTTGCAGCAGCACCCCTCATCTTCTTCTCCGGCGACGCCTTCTTCGTGCTCGCGCTCAGAGGAGTCGCAGGTTTCACATCAGCAGCCGCAGCACCGCCAGTAGTCCTCCGCCGCTTCGTCCGTGGAGGCGTAGGTTCCCGCACAGGTTCTGGGGACGATTCTTCTTCTTCTTCCTCCTCCTCCTCCTCTTCTTCAGATTCCTGTTCAGATCCTTCAGATGAAGCCTCTTCCTCGCCGGCCGCGGCGTGGTGGACTCCCTGTTGCAATTGCATGGCGGCAGCCACATTAGCGTTGACCGCAGCGCCTGTCGCATACCCATCTTCAGGAATAGGCAGGCCGGCTTTATATGCGCGCATTTTCTCCTGGTACACTGCTAGATTTTCCGCGGATAGTTTTTTTCCAGATCTAGGGGAGGGCATGGTTATTAGTAAAATTGGACAAATTGTAGTAGTAGTATAGTAGTAAAGAAGGGAGGGTTATAAATACCTGCTTCTCATGATCAGGCATCTCAGCCCAGCGCTTCGTCCCTTCATCAGCAACCCCCCTCGGTCTCGCGTTCTCACCTAGCTCCTCTGCAATCGTTGCACGGTTATGTTGCATATAGAGGAAATAAGGGGTCAAAGCACGCTTAGGCGCATTGGGATCATGCGGGGCGCGCTTGCGCTTCTTCTTGCCTCCAGTGGTATCTACACCACCGGGACCGCGGGCAACACCCGCAATGCCACCGCCTGGACTAAGAACACGGGCGCCGCTGAGTAAGCCATTCTCCAGCAGACTAGAGGTGATGCCACCCAGGTCGAGAGTAGACGGGCCACGGTTCAGCACTGTGTTGGCATGGTTGATGTACGCGCGCGATAGATCTGACACGGCTGATTGGAGTGTTGCGAGGGAGACGATGACCTGGATGTATGTTAGAGCTGTATTATTTATTGGGTCTGTGGCAGCGGCGATGAGCTCGTCGCAGGCGACGGAGATGGGGCGAATGGTGCGCGCGATAGAGTCCAGGAAGGCCTTTGTGGTGGTGGAGAGGGGAGGAGATTGGGAGCCGGAGTAGGAGTGAGGGTGAGGGTGAGGGGGGGTGGCGGGGGTGGTGCCACGTGAAGAAGACATTGAGGGGAGGGTTGGTGAGTGGTGGATCTTTTTTGGTGTTGGCAGTTTTGGGTAGGTACAGCGTGGGTGGCGAGAGTGAAAGCAATGGGGGATTAATGGGGGGATAGGGATGGGGATGGGTGAGAGGAAACGCGTGGCGCTAGTAGTGAGATCACTAAGAAACGGTAGAGGGGTATACAAAACATAACGGGAGGTTGAGGGAGAGGGGGGGAGAGGGATTTGTTATGATTATAGGTAAAGGGAGGGTGATGCGCGGAGGGTTTGGTGTTTGTTTTGATTTGGCGGATTTGGGTACAGGCGCAGGGACGCGCTCTTTTCGTTGGGCTGGGGATAGTGGGAGGAGGAACAAAAAAAGCATCAGCATCACCAGAAGGACGGGTTAACTTACACTGTCGCGTGTCCTGGTGAAATCATCAATGTTGACAGTCACAATAGCAGTGCTATCTTTGGCCTTGTCATCTTTCCGCGACATCTTGGATGTGTGGGTGGAATAGGCTGTGAATACTAGGGAATGGACAAAGGGGGTTGGGCAAGGGCATGTAGGTAAGCAGAAATGGTTAAGAGTGATCTTGGTGGCAAGATATGGTATATAATGGAGCCAAGAAGAAGAGGAGAAGTGTTTGAATAACTACTTGCTCTAAGCTGTATTTTTGCCCCGTTCGGGATGCAGCTAGTAGAAAGAGAATGGAAGGAGGGCAAGAAGGAGTGACAGTGTTCAGTAAAAAAAGAAGAGAAAAAAGAGAAAAGAGAGGTGCCTGAAGGGGGAATGCTGGCACCTAAATAAGAATAAATCCCTCAGCGCCCGGGGGGACTCTCGCCTGGGAAAACGCTAGGCGCTTCGAGACAGGCACACACACACCGCAATAATAATTACTGCGTAAATTGTTGTTAATATTATTATTATTATTAGTATTATTGGAACTGGAAAAACGCACAACAGCCCTTAACAGGCTAGGCGGATTTTTTAACTAACCCACCGCGTCAAACCCAGCGCTGCTTTTAGGCGGGGCGTGGGACGATCTCCCGTAGGCTGATAGCCCTGGGTAGGCCGCAGCGCCTCTGGTGGCCCAGCGGTGGGCTGCTGTTGGCTACCACTTGGCCCGCGGCGGAGGGATGCCGCTCCTCACCGCAGCGCAGCGTGCTTCTGCAGGCTCTTCAACCGTGGACCGTGGACCAGGAGTCACTTCCTTAAGTTGTTCCCCCCCCGGGCACCTCAGGCTTCCCCCCCCCCCACACCCGGCACAACTTGCCCATATCCAT